CCCATCCTATATTCCCTTGATTTTTAGCTCCGTTGATTCACACAGCAGAGCGACCTGTGAGTACTGCACACGCATGGGAAGTGGCTTTAGAGTGCAGTGCGCCCATGTGAAGTGTGCAAAACTAGTAGGCATGCAATTTGTAATCCCACCACTGGTTCCGACCGATTGGTGAAGGATGGAAGGATTTATATTCCTTGCAGTCATCTGGTTGTTAGTACTCTCTCTGAGTGTCACTGAGGCCCCTTGGAGGTTCACCTGTGTCCTCAGGGTCACCGGAGTAGTGCAAATGGGTGTGGAGCCTTCTTGAAGCTGCTGAAACATCCTCCAGAAAGCACAACTCCACAACACAATCCTTTCAACTCATAAAACATTTTGCGTACACGTTTTAAAGTTGACAACAGAAATAAGAGGGGGAGGAGTTTCAAAGAGCAGGCAGCAGTGTGGAATCGAAAGGACATTCCATTCATATTTTCTTCAAAAACTGTTACGGTGACTCAAGCTCTTGCCCCCCCCCCCCCCAAAATCTAATTGGAGAGCATGATTGATGACTCTTGGCTATGGACGTGTTTTATTGGATGATACGTCCAGAGGGGTGAGGGTGGGGGGAAACAGGATCACGGGTGACAGTGAATTACGTATCTCAGAGTTGATTACGCCCCAGGCAAATGCCAGCATGTTAACTTCTAATAAATCCAAAGAAGTTTTGGGAGTGTGGCTCGAGGCTCATGATTTAATTGGAGTAACTGCCTGAACCCTGACATCGGCACTTGCAAGAAGGCTCGACACCCATTTGACCCATTTGAGGACATAAATAAATCTCCAAGTGGCCTCAACGGCCCTCTAAAAGGATGCAAATGACCAGCTGTCCGCAAGGAATATAAATCCTAAACGTATAGTTGTAAGTCAAGGGCTAGCTATACGTGTGTGAGAGCCAGCCATTCCTTCTTCCCAAAGGTGCTTTTCGGAACTGAAGAAGCTCCTCGGATGAGAAGCGAAACGCCTTCAAGCAAAAACAAAGGAAGTCCAGTCGCCTTTGGGACAACCTTGACTTGGATTGACGGAGCATCTCCCTAGACCTCCAGCCGTTCCTACCACTGCTTCTCACTTGCTCACCCCCCCCCCCCCCCCCCCGCCACCCCGGCCGTGTTGTCTCCTTACCAGTGACGTCTCACACAGCAACTTGCTCCCTCGCACCAAATTGCCAATGGTGATGTGGAAATAGGTGTTGCCGCTGCTCCAGTTGGAGATCTTCGTGAACGGGTGGGTAATCAGGACGTCCTAGAGACACGGACAAGGGGTTAAGTACCTTTTTAGGAATGGAAGGGAACATAAGCATACAGGAAACAGAAAAACAGAGGTCGCACTTCAAGGACTCGCCTTGCTTTTACGGTCGATGAGGCTAATGCCGTGTTTGTTGATGGCAACCAAGAGCAGTTCTGGATAATTTGGGTCCGTGGTTTGCTGTCGAGAAAGGAAAGTGGAGGCGTGTTAGTCGGCCGAGAAGATGGAGTGTTATTATTACCTTTATTGTCAGAGTACAACATGTGTACAATGAGATTGGCTGAGCCTCCCTTCGTGCACGCACACACACACCAACACAACTCACAGGGAGGACAGAAGTCCCTAACCCAGTCAGCTTTAAGACTTGTGGACTTCAACTCCCAGAATTCCTCCTCCAGTCATGTTAGTTGAAGTAGAGTTGAAGTCCACAATTCTTAAACTTGCCAAGTTTGATCTAACTATTTATCTGGCTGTGGGGTCCTTGGTGTTATTTAAGCTTGGCTGTTTTCTTGCACAAGTTTCATTACCCAGCTAGGGAACATCTTTAGTGCTGGGAGGAAGTAGGGTTTGTTCTTTGTTAATATGCTATTAGATTGCCCTGTCGGTGTTTATAGGAGTGTTCCTTGATTAGGCTATGGTTTACTGATGGCTTGTTTCTCTCCGGGAGTTCTTTGGGGTATTATTTACTTAATTGTTGGTCCAGTATTAATCTTGCTCGTATTGCTGTTAATTGTCAGTGGGGAGGTGCTTTCATTTGTTTCTTGTGTCTCTTTTAAATGGCATGTAAAAGTTATGGATCTCTATGTGCCTGTTGATGGCCGATTTGTCCAAGTGCCAAACTTTCCAGGAATTCCCTAGCAATTTTGGACTTGGTCTAGGATTCTCACAGTTTCCCATGTGAAACCAGGGATGAAACATCTCCAAGAAGACCACCAACCTCTGAGAACACCGAGGACACCCCAGAGTTCAATCTTGAGCTATAAATATTCTCTGGGAAATTTGGGGATTTGAAATGCCCATGTCTTAAAGTCGCTAAGTTTGAGAAAGATGGGGTTTAGGGGTCCGTGAGAGGTTATCACCCACGGCTCTACTCTCAGAGAGGGGTTCATGAAAAAAAAAAGGGAGGATATTTGTTGCTCCTGACCTCAGCATCTGCTCTTCAAGGTAGCCCACCAAATCAGGGGTCACCAACCTTTTGGACCTCAGGGATCACCAAACTCATCATTTTAAATCCCGCGGACCAGAGACCCTGGGAAAATCCCCCCCAAAAGTCTGTGGGAAAATCCCCCACCCCGTTTACCTACCGATCGATTGTTCTTTATTTGGGATCGCAGGATACCGTCTCCAGCTACGTTCTCGGGGAGAGGGGGGAGACAGAGAGAGACTTTTGGCTTCATGCAAGGAAAACAGCAGAAGCCGCAGAAGTCTTTCTTTCTTCCTCTCCCCCAAACTCTTCCAGAAATGAGTCTTTGCTGGAGCAGCCTCTTGGAGCAGGAGGCCTTGCAGGGTCCCAAAGACTCATTTCTGGCGGAGTTTGGGGGAGAGAAAGAAAGACTTTGGCTGATTTCCTTGCGTGCAGCCAAAAGCAGAAGAAGAAAGAAGTGGAAAGAAGCAGCCCGGTGGCCAGGCCAGGCGCGTGAGGCGAATGGGACAAGTTCCCCTCCTCTGCCCTTTCTCCCCTCCCCTCACTACCTCATGTTGTTCGCAATGCAAGCAACGCAAGCCTTGTGTTCCCATGTGGGCAATATGGGCGGTGCAGCCTTGTGTTCCCGCGCAGCTTGAATTAATTGCTTTGGGGGGGGGGGGGGACATTTCTCTGCGGAGCACCAAAATTTTCTCATGGACCACCAGTGGTCCCCAGCCCACTGGTTGGCGACCACTGCACCAAATGACAGGGCTCCTTCCACACTTCTTAAACGCGCCCCAAGTTGGTCACATCCTCACCTTCACTTCGAAGAAAGCCGATCCAAACGTGGGCCAGCGGAATATAATCTTGAGGAAAGCCAACTTCGCCTCTTCCCTCGTTTTGCCTGCGTGTTTATTGAAATAGGCCACGATGGACTGCAAGAGAGAGTCGAGTCGAGCATCACAATCCGTGTTGACCCGGGACAAGGCACGAAGTTCACACAACCAGCTGAGACTCCGCTTGAATGCTCCAAATTTCAAACTCCCCTTTAACGCTCCAAATTTCCCCTCCCCCAAATGCTCCCACATTCTTAGCAAGTCCCAGAACAAAGCGCGCATGCATACACACACACACACACACACACACAAGGCAACCTCTGGCTGCGCTCCGGTCCAGCAAAACCAAGGAACAGGGAAATGAGTCCACGAAACAAGGAACAAATGAGGCCACCAAGTAAGGAACAAGGCACTAAGTGCACAAAGTAAGGAAGAAGCACGCAGTCCTACAAACGCCAAATGTCTGTACCGGCACACCAAACTCTACCAAATCAAATGCCCCTCCCTACAGCATCTCCTTAAATCTCAATCCCCATGAGTGCCTTGTGAAGAGGGGCGGGGCGCTCTCCTCCCAAGTTGTTGGGTCAGCCTACACTGTTCCTGCCTTCTCTCCACTCTCCATGCTCAGGGATCAGGAGGGGACGGTCCTTGCTCATCGCCTGAGCTCCGTCGCTCCTCACGTCCATTGCTTGCCCTCTCTCGGTCATCCTGCCGCCCCCGTTCCTCCCTGCTAGCAAGCTGTCCCAATCCTGAGCGGCACTGGGCTGTCTCGTCCTGCTCCTCCCCACATTCCTCCAAAGCCAAAGAAGCCGCCTGCTCGATCTCCATCAGCTCTGGGCTACGGCTCATTCTCCTCCGCGGATTCAGGCTCCGACGGGGGACATGACACAATCTCTCACACGGGACTTGTCCATATTTTAAGGATACTGAATGTATGAACTGGCCTCGCACATCTAGCCCACCTGGTTTTGACGCTTACGCTAATCTAAATTTTTTTTTAATATCTATTTTTTATTTTAATTATAAGAATACAACACGGTGCAGCCGCTCTGGCATTACAATCGTTATACACATATACATCTGACTTCATCATTTACAATCTCCTTGTTTGATATATTATTTACTAATTATTCTAATCATTGTAGCTGCTTATGTTCCGACCTTGCCTTCTTCTACGCAACCACTGATAGAATTTATTCCACGTTTCATAGTAATCAGATTCTCTCTTGTTTTTTTTTTTTAATTCTAGGATTAACCTGTCTAATTCTTCACCGGCCATAATTTTCCTTATTATCTCTTGTTTCTGGGGGGCATGTTTTCATTTTTCCAGTACTGTGCATATATTATTCTAGCCGCCATCAATACATGCACTAGTAAATAAATGAAATCCTTCCTCTGTCTTTCTGTTATTATTCCTAGGAGGAAAAATTCCGGGTTTTTGATCACAATGAGCACAGGGATGGTGAAATGGCCGTTAAGCGTGAAAAACTCACATTTTTTCCAGTGCCATTTTTAACTTCAAGTGGTCCCTAAATGCTGTAAGTCGAGGACTACCCGTAGACAGATAAGACGGAGACGGAAGTAGACAATATGTGGAGCAAACTTACTCTTTTCCAGTCGTCCGGTGACAGCTGTCGAATCAGCGGCTCGGGCACCAAGTCCTTGAGAAGTTTTGTAATGTTAGGAAAACAGGATTTGTCGTCTTCGAATTTCACCCTGTAGATCAAGGCTCCAAGCTGTAGGACTTCTTCCCGGGTGCATTTGTGGTAGCCCCGAAGATATTTTGGTAACTCCTGTGCCACAAAAAGTAAATCAAATATGGATGAGACAATGATAAGCGCACCAATCGTGCCTACCGTCTCTCTCCTATTGTTTTTTATTTATTTTTCTTATGAGTATCTATCTCATGTATTCGAAATGATGTTTATTCTTATACTTGTATCTTGTAAGCGATTGACAAATCAAATAAATACTAAAAGACACCCTGAATCCTTTGAAAAAAACAGATGAAGGAAACATGGGGTCCTTGGTGGCCTCTGAATTTGAGTCTTTTCTTCGAGACGTTTCGTGAGCCAACTAGGGAATGTCATCAGTGCTAGAAGGAAGGAGTGGGGTTGCTCTCGGTTTATATACTAGTGGCCTGCCCTGTCAAAGTGAGTGGGAGTGTTTTGTGTGTGTGGGGGTGGGGGGACAACTGTGGTGTCCTTGGTGCCCTCTGAGCTTGGTTGTTTTCCTGCAGGCATTTCATGACCCAACTAGGGAACGTCATCAGTGCTAGAAGGGAGTGGGGTTTGAGGAGGAGGAGGAGGAGGAGGAGGAGGAGGAGGAGGAGGAGGAGGACAACTGTGGTGCCCTTGGTACCTTCTGAGCTTGGTTGTTTCCTTGTTTCCTCCTCCTCTTTCTCCTCTTCCCCACCTCTATCTAGTACTGATGATATTTCCTAGCTGGGTAATGAAATGTCTGCAAGAAAACCATCAAGCTCAGAGAGCACCAAGTACACCACAGTCCTCCTCCCTTCCTCCCTTCTGCCTCCTCCTCCTCCTCCTCTCTGCAACCCCCCCTCCCTTCTAGCACTGATGATGTTAACCTAGTTGGGTAATGAAACTTCTGCAAAAAACAACCAAGCTCAGAGAGCATCAAGGACCCCACAATCCTCCTCCCTTCCTCCTCCTCCTTCTCCTGTTCTTCCTCCCTTCCTCTTCCTCCCCCTCCTCTTCACCCCCTTCTCCTCCCCCCTCCTCCTCCTCCTCCTCCTCCTTAACCAGTTGGGTAACGAAACCAACAAAGCTCATAAACAATGTTTCTTTAAAACCTTCAAGGCCTACATGCAAAATAATATTTTTCCTAATATTTGAGAAGACGACCTTCTCGCCATCCTTCGCTCCTATCCAAGAGCCTTGGTGGCGCAGGGTTTAGAGTGAGGTACTGCAAGGTTACTTCTGCTGACTGCCAGCTGCCTGCAATTCAGCCGTTCGAATCTCACCAGGCTCAAGTTTGACTCAGCCTTCCGTCCTTCCCAGGTGGGTAAAATGAGGACCCAGACGGTTGGAGGGCAAGAGGCCTAAAGCACTGTAAATGGCTTAGAGAGGGCTGGAAAGCACTACAAAAGTGGTACCTAAGTGCTGTTGCTATTGCTATCATCCAAGATACTCAAACTCAGGGATGGCCTCCCGTTGTGAACCCTCCTTCTCCACCATTCTCCAGGTTGCTTCAGGATTAGGAACCGCGTGAAGATAGAAAAAAGGATTGCCCACCCAAATCCGGCTTACGCTCTTCCGCTGATGAACCCTTGCAGACTTGGGACGTACCTGATAATAATGGAAAATGGAGTCCGCCATGGAATCCTTCCCAGGCGTGGTGTTTGTCCACAGCTTCTTCATGAAAAAGACTTGATAGGTGAGAGAAGGCACAAGCCCTGAGAAGCAAAATCGGGAACAACGTCCAAAGTTGGTTGCGCGTGGTGTGGATGACCCATGGTTAATTTAAGGCAGTGTTTTATCGATCTTGGCAGGTTTTAAGATGCATGGACTTCAACTCCCAGAATTCCCTAGCCAGCATAGGTCCACTCATCTTAAACACGCCCCCACTGAGAAACAAGGATCTACAGTAACGTTAGAGGTCGTGGGTGCAATTCAGACTCCCGACTGCAGGGGCCGCTGCAGAAGGCCATCTTGCTGATGTGCGTGAGCTGGCTGGGGAATTCTGGGACTTGAAATCCACACATTTTAAACGAGTTTAAAAGAGGAGTCCTAGAGTTATGACCGTAAGGGGAGCCTGCTGGCCATCAGGGTCATAAATGATGATGTTTGTAAATTGAGTCACCCATGATCTGATTTTTATGAACTTCTTTTTTTGTGGTGGTCATTCAACAACGGCTTCAGGCACGAAGCAACCTACGTGGTTGCTAAGTGAATGCTGCGGCGGTTAAGCCAGCAAATTGGCCAATGGCCACTGTTGTGATTTGCTGGCAGCCTGTGAAGATGGCACCAGAATTGGACAGTGGGGAAGAACGGGGATCAGTCCAGGAGTCTGGCGAGGACTCAGACGAGGGTCCTGTGTCCGATGCAGAGATGGGGCCAGGATCACCCGGGAGTGGGGTGCTGACTCCGGCGCCTTTGGAGTCTGGTAGCAGCAAGGCAGAGGAACAAGGGGAGCCTATTCCCAGTGCGCGTATGTGCAGAGCTGCTAGAAGACAAGAGCAGCTGAGACAAAAGGGACGACAAGAGTAAGGCTGGGAGGTGATTGCCCCTCCCCTAAGGGATATAAGTCAGACCTAAATGGCAAAACCTTTGCAGGAAGCAAAGTCGTTTGTTCTGTTCGGATTAATTCTTGAAGCTCTGTGTACTTCGGTTGGTTTTTTGTTCTAGTTCATTGGATACTTCTGTTATTGGCAGCACTTCACAGGAAAGAAAGGTGGGTGCTTATCTCGAGGGACTGTTTGAGATTCATTACTGTCTGGGAATGAAAATAATTCCCAGCGTTGCAATAAAACAAGACTTGTTTTTAAAATAAGCGTGTGTGTAATTACGGTCTCAGAAGCCTTGGTCAGAACAGCTACTAAGCAACCAGTTGTAAGTTGATAACTATCCGTCCTTTCTTTTCTAACCTTTTTTTTTTGTGAAATTGCTTGTTAACTGCTTTTCAAATACAGGCAGTTGTCGACGTACGACAAGAACTGAGCCCAGAATTTAGGTTTGCTAAGTGAGAAATTTGTTAAGTGAGTTTTGCTCTATTTTATGACTTTCCTCGCCACATTTGTTAAGGGAATCAGTGCAGCTGTTAAATTAGTGAGTCAGTTGTTAAGTGAATCTGGCTTCCTGCATTGACTTTACTTGTCGCAAAATATGATCACATGACCCCAGGATGCTGTGACCGTCATAACTATGAACCAGTTGTCAAGCTTCTGAATATAAATCACGTGACCACGGGGATGCTGCAACGGTCATAAGTGTGAAAAACGGTCAAAACTCACTTTTTTAGTGCCGTTGTAGCTTCGAACAGTCACTAAATGAACTATTGTAAGTCGAGGACTACCTATATTAGAAACTTTCAGATCAACAACTCTGAAAATTACCCAGTGAATTTCTTTTCAATCTTTTACAAGTTTAAGGACTTAAGCAGGAGGGGTTTTTTTTTTGTTTTAAATAAATAAAATCTTTGATTTCAGAAGGTTACAAATGAACCATGGATTCAGATAGTTTTGAGATAAGATTCTGGAATTCATTCTAAGAATCCTTCTGAGGGGAAAATGCTTTCGTTTTGAATTCACTTAAAAAAAAAAAAAACATGACAAGTTGCAATTTTGAAACCTGGCCACTAGAGGGAACTAGAATGAAATAAAGATTTATGTATTGAAGTCAAGAAGAGCAAGGATGGTGGCAATGCCCCCCCAGATTTACCGTCTTTTGCTGGTCTCGCTTTCTTGATCCAGTCGGTCAGATGCCTGACGAAGTCAAAGAAGAAATCTCCTTCCGGGACGCTGATGACCTGGAAGAAGGCAAGCGGCATTTCTCAACTTTGGCCCCTTTTAAGATGTGCGTGTTGTCTGGGGAATTCTGGGAGTTGAAGTCCACCCACTTTAAAGGGACCACAACTGAGAAATACTGTGTTAAAGGGAAGGAAATAAACAACAGAAACTGCCCTTCCATTTGCCATATGCGTAGCCATTTTATTTAGCCTTATTATATATTCCTTTTCTTTCTTTCTCTTTGATGGTTATGGGGGTGGAAGCAGGGGTGGGATTCAAATTTTTAAACAACCGGATCTGTGGGCGTGGCTGAGTTGGTGGGTGTGGCTCGGTGGTCATGTGACTGGCTGGGCGTGGCTAACTCAATATCACTCACACCGAGACATGCATCTCCTCGCCTGGCCTCTCATGACTGTGGGGATGCTGCAACAGTCGTAAGTGTGAAAAAGGGTCATAAGCCACTTTTTTCAGTGCCATTGTAACTTTGAATGGTCCCTCCACACAAGCAAAGTACCAGCAAAGGAGGAAAAAAAAAACTCCAGAGAAGTTCCGGAGACAGGAAGTCTAGTCCTGCCAAGAATGTAATAAGGGTTAACGGAGAGGCAGTTTCTGTAAGCAACACCAGAATGTTTCCTTCCTGCCTTCCTTACAGGATTAGCCCAGTAATTTCTTCTAACAACCGGTTCTCTGAACTGCTTAGAAGGTTAACAACCAGTTCTAGCGAATAGATGCGAACCTGTAGAATCCCACCCTTGGGTGGAAGGGTTTCGGGCTTGCCACATTCCTAAGGTGGGAGGAGTGGAGATAGAGAGAGTTGTTTAGGTTAGGTGGTTCTCCTTCCCGTGGGAACGAAAGCTGATTGTCATACTCTTCTCATGAAATACTTCTGGACTCGCTCAAATGTATGAATGTCCGATATACAGTGCGGATTCCAGACAGATGAGCTGTATTCGAGTATTGGTCTACCAAAGGTTTTGTATGCCCTAGTTAGCAATCCAATATTTCCAGAGGAGAAGCTTTGTAAGATTAGATTTACAATTAATTAGATTTTACAACTAATTACAAATTGCAACTGGGAAAACCATGGCCTTGAAACATTGCTATCATGTCACCCATGGTCCTTCTTTTCATTAAACTAGACAGACCCAAATCTTGCAACCGTTCCTTGTACGTTTTTAGGTTCCAGTATGAATGGACTCGGCTGGGGGAAGCTTCCGTTAATACAGGATATAACTCCGAATAAAATCCAGCCAGCTACGAGTTGTAAACTCACCTTGTCCGAAATCTTAATAAAAAGGCTGAATCCTTCCGGTGATTTTAAAAGCAGACGTTTGGAAATGCTTTGACAGAAATCTTTGGCTTTGGTGCCTGATTCCACTTCAAATGCCTGGTGAGAAAAAGAAAAAAAGAAGAAATATCGCGGCTTCACACAAGCTGAGTTCACCTCTTGGGCCAAACTAGGGTTTAAACATGGTTTGCTCAATTGAATACAAGTCAGCTGGCTGGATGGGCCCAGCTGAGAGAGGTTAGAAGTTATAGCAAATAAATAAACCATGATGGCCTATGGCAGTGATGGCGAATCTTTTTTTTGTGGTGTGCTGAAAGTGTGCGCGCGCACGATAGTGCATGCGATAGTGCCAGCACCCACAATGCATTGCACCCCCTTCTGTGCATGCGCACGCAACAGCCCCACACCAGGGGTGGGATTCTACCAGTTCGCACCTATTCGCTAGAACCGGTTGTTAACATTCTAAGCAGTTTGGAGAACCGGTTGTTAGAAGGAATTACTGGGCTAATCCTGTAAGGAAGGCAGGAAGGAAACATTCTGGTGTTGCTGACAGAAACTGCCTCTCGGTTAACCCTTATTGCATTCTTGGCAGGATTAGACTTCCTGTCTCAGGAACTTCTCTGGAGTATTTTTTCCTCCTTTGCTGGTACTTTGCTTGTGTGGAGTGACCATTCAAAGTTACAATGGCACTGAAAAAAGTGGCTTATGACCGTTTTTCACACTTACGACTGTTGTAGCATCCCCACAATCACGAGAGGCCAGGCGCGGAGATGCGTGTCTCGATGTGAGTGATGTTGAGCTGGCCACACCCAGCCAGTCACATGACCACCGAGCCACGCCCACCAACAAAGCCACGCCCACAGAACCGGTTGTTAAAAAATTTGAATCCCACCCCTGCCCCACTCCCTTACCTGCACTGCGCATACGCGCACCTCCCAGCGGATTTTCAGCCCATTTGAGGCCTTTTCGCCCTCCCACAGGCTGGAGAGAAGCCTCTGCCCCCTCAGGAAGCTGAAAACAGGCCCATTTCGGCACTTCTGGTATTTCCAGAAGGCCTGTGTTTCGGCCTCCCGAGGCTGCAGAGGCTTCCCTCCAGCCTGTGGGAGGGCGAAAAGGCCTCAAATGGGCCCAAAATCAGCTGGGAGGCCCATGTGCAGTGCAGGTAAGTTTGGCTGGGGCTCACGTCCCACACTAATGACTCTGTGGCCACCTGTGGCATGCGCGGCATAGGTTTGCCATCCCGGGTCTAAGGCAATGCATTAACCCCGATAGCAGGAAACGTTCAAACCAGCTTTGCAAGTCTGTCTCTTTTATTTAGCTACGGCTGTTGGGTTTAAAAGTGGTCCTTGACTTACAACCATTTGTTTAGCCACCGTTTCAAGTTACGACGGCCCTGAAATAAATTATTGAGGGCCAGTCTTCGCACTTACGACCAATGCAACATCCTCCGGTCACGTGTTCACCATTCACCACCTTCCCAGCTGGCTTCCGACAAGCAAAGCCAATGGGGTGGAAATCTGGATTCGCTTAATGACCACATGAGTCACTTAAGGAGTGCGCTGACTTGCTTAGCAACCTTGGCAAGGAAGGCCCTGAAATCGGGTGTGGCACGTTTCATATTCGCCTTGCTTGACAGAAACAGAAATTCTGACTCCAATTGAGGTCATAAGCTAAGGATTATCTACATTTATACATTATAGGTAGTCTTCGACTTACAACAGCTTTATTTAGTGACAATGGCACTGAAAATGTGACTTATGACTCTTTTTCACACTTACGACTGGGTGCAGGCTCCCCAGGGTCACAGGATCAAAATTCAGATGCTTGGTAACTGACTCATATTTATGACGGTTGAGGAGGGAATCCCCTTTCTGACAAGCAAAGTCACATGGGGAAGCCGGATTCACTTAACAGCCTCCTTACTAACTTATCAACTGCAGCGATTCACTTAGCAACTGGGGCCAGAGAGGTTGTAAAATGGGGCAAAACTCACTGAACCCATGTTTCACTTAAGGATGGAAATCTGGGGCTCCGTTGTCGTTGTAAGGTGAGGACGACCTGTATTTCCTTAACCGAAGTGTTCTGACCCACGCCCTTTCCCAACAAATCAAACACAGTTCAAAAAGAACAGAAACCTTGTAATAATTAGATTTTTTGCAGAAACCTTCTGCAAAATAATTAGCTGTGATAAGCACAAGCCTTGCCAAACTGTGTGAGACTTGCCAAAAGATAACAGACAAGAAATAATTTGCAAAATAAGAATCTTCAAATACAAACTCAGGATACTGGAATGTCCACGAGGCTGGAGTTTCAAAACGTCTTTGCTTCCTGCAAAGAAGGTTCGCTTCACAGCTGCCTTTTATCTTCTTGAAGGAGGGGCCATCCCCTTGCAGCCTTACTCCCGAGCCGCCCGTGTTGTTGCAGCTGCTCTTTCCTGCAAGCAATCCTGCGCGCACACGCACTTGACACAGGCTCCTCGGGAACCTCCTCATCGCTGCTGCCAGCCCCCACAATCTCTGAAGGCAGCAGTCCACTCCCTGATGTTCCTGGCCCTTCATCTGAGTCCTCGCTCCCCTCAGCCGTCCACACCTGCTGCTGGCTAACCACAACACAAAGTGACCCGGGATTGACTTTTCTTACTGACCGGGCCGAGAATTTTTTTTGCCTTTACCTCATCAGTGTCATCCGGGAAATAGACTTTGTGGAAAATCTGCGTCGTTTTATGCTGAATGGCCTCCACTTCCACCAGATGGGGAGGATATCTTCGGGACCCGTTCCTACAAGAGACAAAAAGTTGACGGTTTTAAATGGATGGTTGTATTCAAAGAGGAGAATAGATTTATGTATTTTTCATTCGGATATCACGTTCGGATTTGGTGCTTGATGAAAAAAAATCAAACTTAAGACTTTGGCTTTGCCGATTAGATGGATGCGTTGTCATGGAAAC